TCTCTGTATATATCAACACAACAAGACTTCAAGCATTTCTTGCATAATTACAAAATAAGGTAAAAGCTTCTAAAAATAAACACAGCACCACAGTCACTCTTTTAGTTTCCTCCCACATCAGCTTTCAGAACCCTCGTGACCATGACATTACAATTCTCATGTTACAAAGGGACAACTGAGGCTGAGAGAGAGCACACAGTGCCCCTGAGGTCACATAGCAGGCACCAGCACAATCAGGCCCCAAAGCTCATGGCTTGTCCGTACCATCACTCCCCAGAGGTGAGGTTTTGTCCACATTCTGAGCCCCTTCAAGTGTGTGTGCACATTGAACCTGGCTTAATAACATCCCCTGGACTCTTGCCTTTTGCCCATAGTGAACCCTCTTTCCCTCCTGTCCACCTCACTCCCTCCAGCCCCCTGAGGACCCGCTGGTGAGCCCAGCTGGGCATGGGTTCCAGAAGTGGGTGCAGCTCCCTGCCTCTGCGTGGCTGCCAGCTTCCCCATCACCTGCTCCTGTCCTGGCTCCTTCTACCAGGGAGAGCTCAGTACTCTTTCCCCGCCAACAACACCCCCCATAGAGCACCCCCGTAATTACACTTAATGGCAAAGACCATAAGAGCTTTATTAACTTTATTACGGACCCAATTAGCAGCTAATGCCCCATGACTACTGTCCCCCCCAATAATCCCATTAAACATAATGAAGCAGCCATCCCCCCCACCTCTGAGGGGTGGGGGCCGAGGGGACAGGGAAATCCATCTTCCTGGGCCTGATCCTGCCCCCTCAGGCCCATTGGACACCAGCTCAGGCCCAGAGCTTCCCAGGGACCAGGGCTGGGTGTGGGACGACAGAGATTAATCAGTAAGTATTTTGATGCCAGCCATTGAGTCTACACACATGCATGCACATATACACTCACATATACACACAGCCTGGCTGATGTCCAAACAACTCCTTTCTCAAAGCAGGGATGTGGAAACACACACAGCCTTCAAACATAGCCCTGTCTAGGACACAGACATTCTCCCAGTCTGTTCAAGAGCTCCTCAGAGTGGGATGTCCAAGTCAAGGGCCTCTGCCCAAGCTTGTCAGAGAATGAGGGATGGGAGAGCCAGGAATCGGGGAAGACAACATCTCCCCAACGAAGCCACACCTTTGCCACACCCCCAGCCCTTCCTCTGCTTTGGCTGATGGTTTCAAATGTTTATTCAGCACCTACAATGTGCCAGACACAGTCTGAGGCCCTCTCTGCAATCTCTCTTGAGTATCACCCCAAACCAAGGAAGTAGGCATTATTTCTCCCATTTTACAGATGAGGAAATGGAGGCCCAGAAAGACAGCCAGTTTTTGAAACAGATCTCCTACATGATTTGCCTTAAAAGATCTCTCCTCTCCTTGCACAGCACCCCACCTTTCCCTAGCCTAGGGCAGAAGGAGCAGAGATCATGGAGATAATTCTGTTACCTTCGGATGGAAAACTATGGCACAGAGAATGTTCGAAGGACCATTGTGGTAATCACGGCAAGACAGCCCTTGGGGATCTGATCCCACATTCACCTCAATAGGGTGAGAGAATTAGCAATCAGAGAACATCCCCATTCTGACACAAAAGTCCCCTGAATTGGATTTCCCTGGTGGCCCAGTGGTTGAGGATCTGCCTGGCAATGCAGGGGGCACGAGTTGGATTCCTTGGCCCAGGAGTATTCCGCATGCCTCAGGGAAATGGTCTGTGCACCACAACGACCAAGCCTGTGCTCTGCAACAAGAGAGGCTACCACAACAAAAAGCCCTTGCACCGCAGTGAGAGAGCAGTCCCTGCTGGCCCCAACTTGGGAAAGCCGGTGCACAACAAGGAAGACCCAGTGCAGCCATAAATAAATAAATTAATTTAAAAAAAAAAGGCCCCTGAATTATTAGATCCCAGGTTGCAGATCCAAGGTCTGGCATGAATGCAAAGACTGGTGGGGGTGGGAAGTAAAGAGTACATGAAAGCAGCCACAGCAGATAAGTCCTCAGCCACCCCAGTGATCAAAACCTTAAGACTTGGGGATTCTGGTCCTGAGGGTCTATGCCAGGGGTCTCCATCCACCCCCACCCCAAGCATAAGAATGACCTCAAGATGGGGTGGGGGTGGCACATAAAGTCCTGTGGCCTTAGATCCCTCCACCGGCCTTGGCCCCGGAAAACGGGTAGGGAGTAAACACCGCCAAGACTGACAGAGTGGAATCAATGGCTGCCCTGAGCAAGGGGGCGGGGGTTCAGGAAGGGAGACCCTTGAACCTTTGCTTGGAAACAGGCTCCCTCTCCCCTTCCCCCCTCCCCCTAGCTGGCCCAGCCTGGAAGCAGCCACTTGAAATGGGTCCCAGGGAGCCTGGGAGAGGGGCTGGCCTGGCTCCAGCCTCCAACTCCCAACGCCTCAGCCAGGCCCCCTTCCCCAGCCCCCCTCAGGTCCAGCCCCAAATGGGGTCAGGAGGTGAGAGGGAGAGCTTTCTCCCTCTCTCTCAACCAAGTCAGGATCTACAACCCCCAACCACCACCACACACTCAGCATGGCACCCCTCCAACTGGTTCATCCCTGGGGAGGGCGGGTGATGCAGGCAAGTCAGACCTCTCCTTTCCCAAGAGGCTCTGGGAACTGGTGAAGGGGGCAAATCCTCCTCCCTGAGGTTATTGCAGGGCAGGGCCCTGGGTGGGGCCCCTATTCTTCCCTTGGCCTGGGATGAGTGTTCTTTGACACCAAGCCCCCATCCCCACCCTCTGAACAAACAGCACCACCCTTCCCGCCCTCCTCATACCCAGAGGGATCTGCTTCCCAGGGATCCTCAGCTGGAAACATCCACAACCAGCTGATAGGGGCTCTAGGGAACCTTGGTGGAGGCCATGTGAAGTCTGGGGGCCTTGGGGGAGCATCAGCTTGTGCTGAGACTGGGTAGGGTGCAGGAAATGGCTTTCTAGTTTCCTGGCTGTCTGAGCTTCAGCAAGTCTCCCAACCTCTCTGAACCTCAGTTTTTGATCTGTAAAATGGAGCTGAAAATAGAACCTACTTCATAGTGCTTTTTTTGTAAGCATTAAAGTTATAACATATAGAATGCTTAGATACTTCAAATCCAATGAATGAGAGCTGTGTTGCTGCCAGGGATGAAGTGGTACCTAGAGTGGTAACAATAACAATAATAACCGGTGCTGTTGGAGCATTACAGGGACCACCCCTGCCCACCCCATGCCTGATCCTTACTGAGAAAGGAGGATCGAGCTTGTGTCTCCTCACCTCGGCCCTCCAAGGTCTCTGCTTCCTAGAGCCCATCCTGGCATGACAACCTCAGAGGGCTGACTTCGACCTGGCTCACTTCCAGTAAGCCCTAAAGGTGCCCCCACCTCCATCATATCTTCTTATGCATGCGCACGTGCTCTCACACACACACATACACACACACACACACAATGTTCCTTCCTTTCCCTGAAGCAAGGAGGAAGAAAGAGATATAAAGGTTTGAAGGATGAAAATTAGTTGAGAGAGGTGTCAACATCAAGGTAGCACCCCCACCCCCACCCCTTCTCTGCCCAAGGGAGGGTGTTTCCACAAGTCTCTGCAGGGAGACCCCTCAACCCCACCCCCAGGTGTGGACTGACACTGTCAGGCGAGGAGGAGAGTGAGCAGGAGATGAGGTGGCTTGCCAGGAAGAGCAGATACCCAGCCCAGGGGCTCGAGCCAGAGCTAGGGCCCCCACACAATCCCCCCAGGACTCAGATTTGTGGCCAGGGTCAGAAGAGGCCAGAGGACAGCTAAGTATGACCTTCCGGATCACAGCTTCCTTGACCAGAGCCGGAAGTGCCAGGGGCTGAGCCAGCTGGTTGGGGAGCAATTCTTTTCCAGGAGGCAGGAGGGATCTAGGACAATGATCTCCATGATCCCAGCCCCACCGCTGGCCTGTCTGAAGCTCTCATTGCAGTCCCTGCCTCTATTTCCCCACCTCTTAGAGGGCCAAGAGCTGTTACCTGCTCTGCTTTCTAGAAGTGGTCAAACCAAGCGAGGGGTGGGAAGTCTGGGAGAGAAGGGCCCGGCAGTCCCCTCAACCTGTCTCTGTCATCGTTAACAGTCACAATTATTATTATTTGGAGAGACAGGCCAGAGGTGGTCAGGGACGTGGTTGGGGTGAATGAAATGAAAAAGTCCTCGGTATGTGCCGTCTAGCCAGGTTAATACTCTTGCCTGTCGGCCTGACAGCTGCAAGATTGATTACTCAGGCCTCTCGCTCTTTATAACTCGATCAGTCGAATTAATCTCTGGCTGTCGGCCCATCTGATGCCTGAATCACAAATTTAATTTGGAGGTGTACAGCTCCTCCCCCATCCTATCTCCTCCTTCCTCCCAGCCTCCTCTTCTCTTCTTTCTTCCACTTCTCCACCATTTCCTGTTCTCCTGCCTCTGCTTCCCTCTCTGCCTCTCAGGCCCCTCGAGGGGGCAGTTGTGGAGGAGGGAGACAGGAGTGGGTGGCCCTGAGTCAGCAGCCCCTCTACCCAGGCCAGAGGAGGGGTCATGTTCACCCACCCACTGGGCAATGCGCCCACCCCACCATGCTCCACCCCAAATGGAGAAAGAGGCTTAGCTGACACTAAGTAAGACATATTAATGTACTAAAGACTTAATGAAGTTGCTGGGGGGGGGGGGCGGTGGTGAGGGGTGGAAAGTGCTTGCTTTATTAGTTTATGGCCGATTAATGGGGACGCCATTACTGTGATGGAGATGGATTGCTGCTGTCAGCAGCCTGGGCTGAGGGCCGGCCGCTCCTTCCTCGGGTGGTGGGTGCCCCGAACAGAGTCAGAGAGAACTTCATTAGAAGAGCCTATGGGGTCCCACTTAGGGAGGCCTGAGGTGAGCCTGGTGGGGCGAGGGGAGGGGCTCAGCTCTAGGCTTTGGGAGAGAATTCCAAGGGCTGGGGAGCTGGCAGCTCTTATCAGCTGGGAACTCCAAAGGCAACAGGGTAGGGAGGTGGCCTGACTCCAGATCTGTACACATCAGGGCTCCTTAATGTCACCTGGAGGAAAGGGAGGGAGGAAGCTAAGAGAACAGAATAACCAGGATCCACTTGATCTGCCCAAGATGAAGGGAGGGAAGAGCAAAGAAAGTGAGCGCTATTCCTTCCATCCTCCCTCAGAGTGGGACATGTCCAAAGACCCCTGGTTCGCCAGCCCCAAGGACTGACCCACCAACACTGGCTAGCTGCATTCTTCTCTAACTCTAGAATCCTCAATGCTGGAGCCAGATACCACCCCACACTCTGAAGACAGAGTGGAGGAGAAAGCCGCACTCCCTCAATTACCTGGCAGCTGCTGACCTCCCAGGCAGCCAGTGGGGAGCAGTGAGAGTGGCGGGGGGAGGACTTCGGGGAGAGCAGTGGGGGCTGCGAGGCCAACACCACCCCACCTCTTGGTTTTTCAGGTGGCTTCCTACTCTCAGCAACTTCTTACCTCCATGCCCCAACCCCCACCTTGCTTTCTCTGAAGAGGGAGAAGGCTGGATGTGGCACAGCTCGGCTCCAAGGGGCCCCTTTCTACTGAAGGATCTCTTCATGTTGAAGTATATGACACTTCAACATGGCCATTTTGACGCAGGAACATTAACGCTTCACTAATTATTATCAAACAGTGTTCAAAACAGCCCCTCCACAGCCCCTCCCTAAGCCCCACTCTGTCCTGAGGCTCTACCAACCGACCCTATCCATGAGAAGAACCAGGGATGAAAAACGACCCCAGGATGGGCTCAGAACCCAAATATTCCGTTGACCAAAATACACAGTACTAAAAAATATTTTGACACTTGCATGCCTGCTCAGTCATTCAGTCATGTCTGACTCTTCATGACCCCATGGATTGTAGCCTGCCAGGCTCCTCCGTCCATGGGATTTTTCCAGGCAAGGACACTGGAGTGGGCTGCATTTCCTCTTTCAGGGGATCTTCCTGACCTAAGGATCGAACTCGAATCTCCTGTGGGTCCTACATTGGCAGGAGGGTTTTTTACCCCAGAGCCACCCTGGGAACCCCATATTTTGACACAAGTTAGGCCTAACAGTTATGGCAAAATGAGCTCCAAATGCCTTATATGGTCTCTTGACACTGCTCTTTACTGCGTTTGTGATTCTATGTGGGCAAGTGTGCCTAGCTCCGTGGGCTACCCCATGTCTACCCGCCAGCCCTGGGTCTGAGCATGCCATGAGTCTGAGTGTTCTGCAAGGGCTTGCTTCTGTGAGTGTCAGGTATCTGTCTGCCTTGTAGCGTGGACACTCCCTCCTTGGGACACTGAGCTTGCCACTCACGTCTGCTCAGGCCAAGGGCCAACCATTGGTTCAGGGGTCACCACCCAGGCTCACTCCCCAAGGTAGAAGCTACCTGCTTGGCCTAACTGGGAAATAAATACCCTGTTTCTGAGAGTAATTTAATTATTGGCTCCCATGGACTAGTGGGTAATTAAATTCCGTAGCTCCCAAAGTAATTAATTGCTATGCAAATAGTAATGCCCTCTGCTTTGGAGAGGAGGATCTCAGCCTGGGTTTGCCCTGCAATTAGAAGCTAATAATTACCCTGTCAGTTCCTCACTTCTGCCGGGTAATTACTGCTGAAGCCCCACTGGTCACTGAGAATGTTCCCATCACCTGCTGCTGTGACTCTGGCTCTGGTGGCCCAAACAGCCAGGGCAGGGCATCCCCAGAATCCTTGTGGATCTTGACATCTTTCCACTCTGCACCACATCCACAAACCCCAAGACCCTTAAAGAGCTGCCCTTCCTTCTGACCAAGAACAATTAAGGACAGAACCTCTTTAGCTTCCCTTTGCTTAGGAAGAGGAGCCTCAGCCTCTGGGTGTATAAATTCTTGTTAGGTGGGTTTGACTCACCTATACTGAGATTCCTAGATGTTGGGGACTCTAAGAGTTAATCTTTATAAAAATAATTTTTACCGTGTGATGGGTCTGAGATTCCTAGATGTTGGGGACTTTCCCAAAGAGTATCTAAGAGTTAACCTTCATAAAAATAATTTTCACTGTGTGATGGATTTTTGATGTGTCAACTAGGCTATGAGAATGGAAGAGAAGGCTGCTGTCATTTCATAGCAAACACTGGTTATTCCCCCAGTTATTCAATCAAAGAGCAACCTAGGTCCTGCTGAAAAGGGATTGTGAAGATGTAATTAAAGTCCCTAAGCAGTTGCCTTTAAACTAGAGAGGTCCTTTGTGGGCCTGACCTAATCAGGTGAGCCCTTAAAAGGGACTGAGCTATTCTTGATGGAGGAGACTGCAAACAGCACCTGGGCTGACACCTGCTTTGTACAATCAGTATATCTTCCCTTCCCTACTGTCTGGGAACAACAGACTTGTCAGTGCTTGGGAGGGCGGGGGGCAGGGGGCGTCCAACTTGTTCCTGATCTTTCCTTCCTGATTGACCTACAGATTTTGGGTTTGCCCCTCTCAGGCCCATCTCCTTAGGAAAGAGTCAGAGCAATAAGAACCCAGGATGTCAACCCCCATAATCACACCAGACAATCCATCCTCAACCTGAGTGATACACCCCTTTTCAGAGATTGGAAAACTGGAATCAGATACAAAACAGTGGCTGACCAAAGATGTGATAACTGTTAAATGGGAAAACAATGCTTGAAGCTAGACACCCCCCATGGACCTGGCCTGAGGTCTTAAGTCTCAATTAGCTTATACCTGTGCGCAAGTGGGAAGGTATTCATGGATCCCCCACTTCATAACTCACAGGTATCACTGTGGTTAAGCTGAGTTTTCGTGTCTTATCTGAATCTTATTCTCTACCTAAGCTCCAGGCCCTTTGTCCCAGATTCTTGATGCTGTCTGATTCCTTCCTAAGCACATGAGTCTGACAGTGGTAGCACCTATGTGTCTTTGAGGCTTTGGTCATTCTTTTTAAGAAACATATAGACTCCACTGCCTCTGAGCCCTCCTCCTCCAGGTCTGAAATCTTTCAACTGAATCCCTGGAGGATAGTGTCCTGATGGTCCCAGAGTTGAGAGTTCACCTCCAAAGGCTGGATGCTGGACAGAGTGTGAGTAAGGGAGGATGACTTTGGGAGACTGAACTGAAGGGCAATGAGCCAAGAATGGGTCCCAAGAGCCTGGGAAATAAGAGGTGGAGGGAGCAGAAGGGACCAACAAGGGTGAGAATCCTTACCCTCCACACTTGGGTACCCCTCTTCCCTTCAGGTCTTAGCTTCAGTGTACTTCCTCAAAGAAGTGCTTCCTTGTCCCTAGAAGAGGGCTGGCCTCATGCCCCACATTCTCCCTCTGCTATACTTCTGTTCTGGGCCAGGTGGGCAGGAAGGCAGAAGACCCAGGCAGAGGAGATGGACTTTGCAAAGGACCAGCTCTCGTCAGCCCACAGGACCGTATCTAGGACTAAAGGTAATAGGAAGCACTACAGGCTTTGAGACCAAAGTCTAGCCCTGTAAATGCCTTGCCCTTGGGTCAGAAACACCTTGGGATGAGTGTGAACCACCTAAGACAGACCTCCTCCACCACCACCAGGGACAATAAGAGAAAAATGGCAGGCAGAGGGTGGCATCAGGAAAGCCAGAGGTGGTAAACAAACATGCTTCCCAAATTTCACATGGGAATATGGGCAGGAACTACAGGGAAATGCTCAAGATTCTCAATACAGAGGTGAAGATCCCTTAATATCAGTGAGGGTCTTATCTATTTGGGAGAAGTCAACCTTGGAGAAGGCCCTTATCCCTTGTTTCACTCTGCCCAGCGCCCCCATGACAGAAGAAAAGCAATGGTGTCCATTGGTCTGGAGTCTGTACCCTGCCTTGTATTCCCAACTTCTGTTTCTGATTTGTTGCAGGAACTGGTAGAAGTTGTGTTCCTACCTGTGCCTTCATGAGGTGGCAATTTCTTGCCTCTTGCTAGAGATTTTAGGACAAAAGTGCATGATCACTTACAAGTTAGCACTCTTCAGAGAGCTCAGAAAGCAGTGCACATGGGTGGGAGCCATGTCCCTCCCATCAGACTGGAGGTTCCCTAGACACAGGGTACCATGTATCTCCCCTCTAAATAGGGACTCCCAAGGGCAGTTGACATTTCTCTCCTATTTTCCCCTCCAGAGTCTGGCCCCAAGGTTAATAAACAGTGATTCTTAAAAAAAAAAAAAAAACAATAACTATGACCTAGTCAGGTAAGAACCAGGGGTCTCAGAACACAGTCAGGGGCTGACAGGCACCCTCCACACAACCTGGCCTCCTGTCTTGGCTGGTTCGGCTACTGCTCCACTGACAGCTCTTTAGAATCCTTTCACAGTTTTGGCCCCACTGTAATTTCTGGGTGATGAATATTTCCCCTAATGAACTGATGGGAATTGGATTAGGTTGGAATGCCTGTGTGCTTAGACTCTAACTGATTAAACCCCCATCTGTGCAAGGCCTGATTATGAACAGCTCGTTACATATAATTTTTAAAAGGGGGTTGGGAATGATGTTGGTGTTTGAGTTCTGCAAAGGAGCAGGAAAGAAAGTGAAAGCAAGTGTCTGTCTAGGGCTTTGGCAAGGTCTAGTTGCTTTTAATCTGACCAGGTCAGCACTCCCTTGCCCCAGGGCACACCCACTTTTCCCCACTTATGCCAGGGGTTCCGGTGCCTGCACCCCTAGCCATGAACCCTGCCCAGGAGTCTCTGAGCCCACATCTATCTGTCCCCTGCGAGGAGCACTGACTGCACAGGGAGTTGTTTTGGGTAAAGGCAGGGAGGGAGAAAGGGTTAGAGGGGAAGAAGTTGGACTTATGGATTCAGTTCTCACCACCACGTGAGGTTCAAGCTCTTTGTCCTTACTCCAGAATTATCCAGTTACCTTCAAAAGAAAGTGTAGGGAGTTTGGAGCCCCATCCAGGACACATACTCTGGGCAATTCCTGGGTCCTTTATTGGTCAGGACCAAGGATAGCACCCCAGCCATTTCAAGGATCTCCAAAGTTCCAGGTCCTTTCACTCACTTCTCTTTCTTCCCTGCCAATCATGTTTCTCCGTTATTT